GGTAACTAATTACCCCACGCTGAGAAAACGAATGCTCAAAGCACCACCACGCGTTTTTTCGGCTTCCTATGTAATGGAGTTACATCTCACACTTGTCTACTACTGGCAGATGTCGTTACTTGTATCAATTTCAAAGGTTTTAGACCACTAATTTGACTTCGTCTGAGCCTGGGGTAACTAATTACCCCCAGTGGCCGCTAAGGGTTAACCATATTCCGCGTATTTAGAGAGCGATCGTTACAATACTTTTGTATCCTGCATTTTGTATCCTGAATCCTGCATCTAATATCCAGCTTCTTTCATCCAAGAGAGAACCTTTTTTTTGTGATCACACCGCCCGTTGAGAGACCAACTAAATATTCGGTTTCACGGACTAAGATTTCGTTCAACAAGCAGAATATCGCGTCACTTGACCCAAAGCTTTGTTCAATCCAACGATGTCTCGCTGCGATCACCGAAATGATTTGTCGAATCAACAAAGGAAATTCTGCACCGAACTGGATTTGGAGTTTACCGGACTGATCATTAGTGGTTCCAATAAAATATTTCGTTACATTGAAAGATGTTCAGTCAAACAGACAGAACATCACTTTGCTTTGTTCAAAAGTTTATTCGAGTCAAGAAGGTTACATTCTGACTAATAGTTTTTTTTGCATCAATGGAATAGTACGTGTACACGTCAGTAGACTGAATCTTTTTTTCACACGAATTTATCATTTTTTGAAATTACCTATGCATTCGTTTAATTGAACAAGTTTTGATTCAGTTGAAGCATTCAATATTTTGTCATATTTACATAATATTTATTTAATATTGATTTGTTGGATAGACTAAGTTTCTTTTAATGCAACGAATTTTTTCTCTCAGTGCAGGGGGCACCTTAAAATATTATTTTTTGGACAAATGACTATAAAACTGCCTAAAAATGTATGATAGTAACGTCATAGGTATCTAAAATGTTTTTAAGGAAGGGAAAACCTATTAATAAATATTTTTGAGGTAAGTTAACAGTGCCATGTCCCGTAAAACAAGACCAGTCGGCGTTCTATTTGAGCATGTGTTACAAAAACTGTTGTATCTAGCGATTAACGAATGGGTATAAGACTCGTGTGATTGGTGCTCAACTTCACACTCGTGTATTATACTCATGCGTACTAGATAGACAAAATACTATTATTTACGATTAGAGTGATTTTCTTAATTGATTGGTCAGGTTACCTAAGCTAGTCTAAATTATTAAAAACTGTTAATATTTATCATAATGTTCATTGTTTAAGTAAATGCTGTAGGATTACTATACTCATTCTGCTTTTTGTCCCTTATTCGTCTACAAGTAATATGACAAAATAGCGAAATGAAATGAACATGCAAGTAGAGAAACATGTCCTGCTGCGAACATGAAATGCGCATTAAACGCAGAAGAATTGAAGAGAAAAAAACGAACATATTGAGAAGCAATTAATAGAGGCGAGTTCTATGATAGCAAAGATTGAAGCTTCAGTATTATAATTGATAACGGAAAATGCAAAAGCATCACGAGAGAGGAAAATACCAAAAGATGAATCCGGAGGTTATGTCGTAATTCTGCAAGCTAGTTTAATGTTCGTAGATGGTAAAGACGAACTTGATTGCATTATCGAAATGCTGTAAGTGGCACAAAGGTACGAAAACTTGTGAAAATCGCCCCACGGCCACGTGCCAAAGTTATATATTTAATCGCAACAATGTTTTCGTCGAAATAGACACATTGCTTCATGCTACCATATCAGTGAATGTCGATTTTTACTAAAAAATGAAAATAAATATCCACGTCAGTTAAAAAATAATTAATAAATAATGCAAATAATCATTAAATATTTTTAAGTAAAAATGGTAAAATGTATTCTCTAAATATAATAAGTTTGAGCAATGTGGGATTAGTCGTTGAATAAATTTTATCCAGCCTTAATGACGGTTACTGATTAATATTTAATAAAATAATTTATATAATTTAGTGTATGGTAATTTGGCAATACGTATTGAATTGCTCATTTCTAGTATAAATATAAATTTTTAATATGAGAAGTGCTCTTAGTGTTAAAGCTTTCTGAAATAATCCTCTAAATAATTTTCGTATTACTAACATTCACATTTGCGAGTCCTAATTACAAGGGTGCCCTTAAGGGCAACATTAATTATGACTATACTACCATAATAAAGATCAATATAATAAACTACAATACGTTACCGCTTATGCGGAGTACGGTGCATCCCTATCCTGTACCGTTATCCATTCACTAGAAATTAATATACCTGTATTCGTCCAGTAGTGTCCAAGAGGATTGAGAACTTCAATTATATTTCCTAATTGTAACGTATGCAAGTAAACATTACATGAGATATTCTTTATGAAAACAAATATGGACAAGTAACAAAAAACAATTAACAAACTTATTTATTGCACATAGTTGAATATAAATTTTTGATATCATGTATGCACTTCGAATTTTCCTATGTTAAATTTAGCTAAGTATATACTTGCAATTAATATTTGGGGCTATAACGTCATTTAAGTACTAAATGAAATAGAATTATAATGTACTGGAATGAAATCCGACCTAAAAACTAACGGGTTGTATACGTTATAGCCTTATAGCGCACCCCAAAATTTCGTGAACCCCAGTGTATATTTAAGGTAGTCGAGTTTGGAGAACGGCACATTTGAATTAATGTACTCAAAGCAGCAATATCAAAATCGAAGTCTAACGATTGTAATCACGAGATTTAAGAAGTATTTTTTTGAAATCGTCACATATCAGCGGACGAGCAGAATTAATATTAGTCAATTCAGCTTTCGAAAAACACTGTAAATATTATTATATTTTTGTAATCTATTAGGAATATTTGAGTTTTCGTTGAAAATTAATTTTTGAAATTTATTATAAATTTCTATATTGCTTAATATTATTGTTTAATATACTAAAACAAAAGTTCCCTTATTCTTATAAATTGATACGACTACGATATAGGAACAAAGTGATAAAGATGCCTGAGGCGAGAAATGAAGAATTGAGAAGACCAATGGGGGATCAGGAATTGATCGGAAATCTGGTATCGAATCAACCAGAAGTCCTGCAGGCGCTTTGCATATGTGGGCGACCACGGGACTACGAGGCACTAATTGACAATCAGTTTTACTGCCCACATGACGTATCAGCACACTGGAGGGTCTTACCACCAGGACTAGTACAAGCTGGACTGCTTCCTCTTTTTGTACCGAATGCTGTGCAGCTGCAATATCCTATGTTCCCAGAAGAACCGTTAGAAGAACTGGAAGCTTTGATAGAGGATAGTGCAGAGTCTACTGATAACGAATCGACGCTGTCGGTTGAAACACTGGAGGAATCGATTGATGAACAATTGGAGGAAGAAATTGACAGATAATTTCGAGTGATAATGCACATAGTTAATTGTAAATATATTATTTTAGTTTCATTTTTTTCAATAAATTCTTTGTTAAATGTGCCTTTATCATTGTGATGTGTCTATTACTGAAAAAGGTCAAATCCAGCATTTATACCAACTGTGATTCCACGAAGGAGGTTCCTAGATTTCCTAAATTTAGAAGCTTCATCCAGATGCTTCTAGATTCAATGATTCGACCATCCTTCATCGCACGGAGTCTTTCTTAAAACAGTTCTAAACAAGCGCTCATGTGTTAAATACTACAAGGTGGTAAAAGGAACAGAGAAAAATGAAAGATAAGAAAAAATCACATATATTAGTTAAAATATACATATATATTAATATAATATATATTATTCCTCCTTAACTGCATAATATTTGACAACTTACTTGGCCTTATTTTGTTCTATATATAATATTGATAAATTCATATTTTTCATTACGATATCCTTCTTATATTATAGAAGCTTACTAGAAGCTTGTAACTTAATATAAGAAAAGTATACATAAAATACAAATGTTATATACACAGATCTGCTAAAAATTTACAGTAACTAAAAGTAAATTACTAAAAAAATTTAGCAATAAAAATAACTATATACTGTAACGTCAATTTTCTTAACTTGACCCGACACCGATAGCAAGACATACGGGAACGACTATCTTCGAGAACCAACCTACGTTACCTTCGGCCGTCCACCCGTCGTTCGTGCATCCGCAAGCCAGGCGGGCGTCAGTCAATTCTTTTTTCACCGGGAACTGACGAGCCGGTATAAACTGGGAGTTGGGATGGAACAGGCCCAACTGCTATACCGTAGCGAAACACGGCAAGAAAAACTATCAACAGATAGCACGGGAGCACGAGCCAGCCCGTGACATCTCGGTCGGTGCCCCGAGACAGACTGCTTTGACAATAGCCAAATCCGAGAACTAATCATTCTGATTGGTCGAGAGCCTTATAACCGATAACTCTTCTATCTCCTTCGAGTCGTCCCTTTAAACCAAATCGAGAGCGTTCCTTAACGAATCGGTACGTAATTTTTGGAGATCCTCCACGGCTGCTTCCCCAGGGCATCGGGCGACAGCTGGGCACCACATCCTTAACTCGGGCAGGAGGTTCTCCTCCTGCCCTTAACCATATCACAACTTCCTCCGCCCGCTCTACAGCCCTTTGCCCATCTCCAGCGAGGCGCCGGTATCTCACCCGGGCTTCTGCCGGTCCGTGGAGACGTCTCCGTCGGGTACTCTCCTCTGCCGGGTAACTCGGTACGTTGAGACTATATCCCCACGGCAGATTCGAGCACCTCGACCTCAACAAAACAATGACAAAATCTTACGAGAGCCTTGACATAATTGTACGAATCAATCCGAGAGCGTAGCTTCTGAGCAGGGTGGCGACTCGAAGAGAACCAGAAATCGAGAACCTTATCTGTATCGGTAACCGGAGCCGCCTTGGGACCGTGATTCAAAAAAATCACGTCACAATACATAATATAAAAGAATTTAAGAATTTAAATACTACATTGAATTATGTTCTCAAATCTAAAATCTAAAATCTAACATTTAGAAGGCAACAGTTGGATATTGTTAATATTTCTTAGATGTTGTAATAGTTTTCTTTTCTTCTCCTTATTCTTGATCCAGTCCATTTTTTTCCATTCTTGTCCCAGCTGATTATATACCTGACATCCAATATAAATGAAAGATTTTTGTGCAGTTGTTGTTAACAAGTTAGGTGCTTCAAGATTTTCTACTGTTATGCTTCTTGTTACTGTTTGATATTCCCTTCCAATGTGACACAGATATTTTGGTGCAACTTTTACAGACGATACAATGAAGATTTCGTTGACAGACGGTATACCACTTTCATTATACAGGGCTTTGGTGTTGTATCTTGTGTCTTTAGAAAATACCACTTTTAGAGCTTTGTTTTGTAATATTTGGATCGCTGAAAGTTCGTTATTGTAAGCACTACCCCAACCAATAATGCCGTAACACAGAATAGAGTGGAACAGTGCATGATAAACTGATAAAATATTATCTTGGCTGACTATATACTTTATTTTTCGTAGTAGAAATAAGGTTCTTCTTAGTCTGGCAGTAAGATTATTGAGTTGCTCTTTCCATTTTGGATTACCGTCCAACACAATGCCTAGAAATTTGAAGTTATCCTTTCTGTTAATCATAGCTAATCTCTCTTCGTTATCCCGTATTAAAGTAACTTGTAGTTGTGTATATTCCGGTAGACTATTAGAGTAATATCCAAAAGGAGTGAAGCAGGTCTTATCAAAGTTAACAGTTAGATAGTTGTCATTGAACCAGCCAAATGTGCCTACTAGGTCACGACTTACTAAACTTTTAAGCTCCTTCCATGTACTGGCACTATAAATTATAGTTGTATCATCTGCATATGCTATCAAGTGACCTTTTGAACTAATATCAAATACGTCATTTAAGTATAGGATAAACAGAAGCGGACCTAGGATGGTACCTTGCGGTACTCCATACGTAACATTGCTCAAATCACTAAGAGTCCCATTCACCTTCACTCTCTGTTTTCTATTCTCAAGATAACTTTTAATTAATTCATTTGATGATCCTCTGAAACAATGTCTTTCAAATTTTTGTAGTAGCATCTTATGACTGATAGAATCAAACGCTTTTGCTAGGTCCAGGCTTACGGCAAGCACTTTTTTTCCCTAACCCATACTCTTATATATCTGTTCAAGCAATTGACCAATAGCATCTTCTGTTGAGTTACATTTCCTAAAGCCAAATTGATTCTCTGATAGTATGTTATTCTTGTTTATGAAATTCTCCATTCTGTCTGCTAGACACTATTCAAATACCTTATTTATACAGGAAGTTATTGAGATCGGCCTGTAATTATTGCTTAGCCTTTTATCCCCACTTTTAAATATCGGAGTTACATCTGCCATTTTAAATTGGTCTGGGCACTTACTTGATTCAAAAATTTTATTTATGAGCTCAGCAATTGGTGAGGCTAGTAAATCAGCTGCAGCTTTCAGAGCCATTGGCGATATACCATCAGGTCCAGTCGATTTGTTAGTCTTCAAATTATTTAGTATTCCATAGACTTCTCCCGATGAAACTGGGTTTAAGAAAAACGTCTTAGAATTAATTTTATTTTTTACCTCACAGTTGGAATGAGCTATGTTCTCAGCAAGCTTGGATCCAACTGAAGCAAAGAAACTGTTGAGATTATTTGCTATGCTTTTATTATCCGTAATTTCCTTTTGACTTTCATCCAACATAACCTTGACTGTTCTTGCTTCTTTATTTGTTTTAGATAAATCATTGATTATATTCCACAACTTTTTCGGGTTGTTTTGAAAACTAGCTACACGTTTGGATAGATAGCTATTTTTAGCTTTCTTAAGTATTTTCATTAGTTTATTTTTGTAGAGCTTATATTCGCGTAGTGCGTTGACATCACCTGGCCTTTTAAAAACTTTTCTATATAATACTTCTTTTTTATCTATCGAAATTAGTAGTCCTGGGGTTATCCAAGCATTTTTTGGAGCCTTTTGTTTACCATTTTTTCTTGAAGTGGATGCATCAATGTGTAATAGGAGTCTGTTTATTAGTTGATCAGTTACGATCGTTAGTTAGTTATTACATACAATAACTAACGCACCATCCTTTTTTTCTCTTATTGTTATTATTTTTGCAGATATATCAGTAGGATTTACTTTACTCATAACCTCATTTTTTACATTTTCAGTATTTTGCAAGTTCGTAGGCCTAATAATTACATTTGATCTTTGGCTAAAATTGTGCTTTGTTGCGATTTTCGGACCAGCTGCAATAGTCGAGAAAAGCGGTGCACTAGAATTCATGTTTACATTGTTGATTTGCTCTTTAAGATTCTCATTCTTCTCAATTAACAGATCATTTTTGTCGTTCATTTCTGTAACTAGTTTGTTCAACAGTTCGTTTTCCTTTTGCAGTGAACTAGGGGCTTCAGGTTTGCTTTTCGTACTAAATTCAAGTTTATTTCTGTAACTATTTAACATCTTGGTTTGCTTTATATAATCTTCTTGAGTTTTTATCAATCTTTCTTTTAATCCTGCAATAGCTATATCTTTAAGTTCAACAACTGTACAGTCGAAATACAACTGTACTGTAAAAATATAACAGTGTGTATAAGGAACATGTTACTTGTAATTTCTCGCTTATATGCATAATATTAATATAAGAGTGCTGTCATAGTGAAATTATGTATATGAATACGGGAAATTACGATTACACGTTACCGCAGATAGCATACGTCATTCCCAGAATATCATAATTTCATACTCAATATTCGAAATACATGTCAACTCACATGTTACTCAATTTTGTTAATAGATTCCAGTACATTTTGAGCATACGCAGAGAATATTCGTATGTCCTAAGAATATCACTATATCAGTTTGCTATCCGGGTGGGTCAAAACCATGCAAGTTGGAAGACAATCGGATAAGCAAAATAGAGGCGTCATTCAATTAGCATCGTTCCGTTCCGAATTTTAATACCGTACAACAAAAATCTAACCATACTTTCTATATAAATTTGATAAATTTACCAAAATTAAAATTAAAATTATATTATATTATAAGCTGTTTATTTCCCTTGCGGGGTACAGCGCGGACTCCCACTCCGCTCACAAACGTCACTTATCTCTAATTTTACACCCTGATCCATACAGATCACTAGACACACATACATAGAGAGAGAGAGACCCACTTCATTCATCCATACAACCATCCGTCCGTCTTTCGACCTCCGTTTCCGCTGCACCAACACTACTATCCTCCCCATTCTTCCCCCCTGCACCTCCCGTATCCCGCTCCACCCTCTCTGCTTCTTCTCCCAGTTGTTCCCCCAATTTTCCTCTCCACCTTTCTATTTCCACCATCCACCTTTCCCCTAAACCTTTACCTCCTAGCACCTCCTCCCTTGCCTCCTGCCAGCCTCTTTCCCTGCCCGATGCTGTGCATACTTCCCATACGTGCTCCCAAGTTTTCTCCTCCACCCCGCACATCCTACACCTTCTTTCCTCCTTCTTCTCCCAATACCTGGTCCCTCTCATCTCCTCACCCAGCCTGAACCTCGTCACTCTCTGCCAACTCCATTCCACCCCCCCTTTCTTCAAATAGCCCGGCACCCCCTTTCCTTTTATAAACTTGTACTCCTTATTTCCCTTAGCCTCTACCACCTTTTTCCACCTTTCCTCGTCCTGTATTTTCTTTTCTAGCCTAACCATCTCCTCTCCTCTCATTTCACCCTCCGCCCACTTCCTCTCCACCTCCACCGCATTCCACCCTCTTCCCTCATAAAATTTTCTCCTCTCATCTTCCCATCCTTCGCCGCCCCTACCTTTTCGTGCCCTCTTGCTTATCTCCTCTCTGCATCTCCTCGCCAGCTCTCCTCCTCCTCCCTCTTCTAGCTTCCTTTCATAGCCCAATGCCCTCATCCCCGCTCTCCCTTCCAACGCATCCCTCTGCAACTCCTCTCTTACCATATAGCCTGGCACCCTCCTCGACACCACTAGCACCCATCTCATGTACATACCTCTCATGCAGTCGCTCCACCGTCTCCCTCCCTACCCATCCCCAGATCTCCACTCCGTAGCTTACCACCGGCCACACCAGCTTATCAAACAACCACAACCTTCTACTCCAGTCATTCCTAAACCTCCACTTGCCAATACCCCACACCTGTCCCATTGCTTTCGCCGCCTTTTCCACCCTCTCCTCCACATGATCTCTTTGGTCTCCGTCCGCCCTCACCACATATCCTAAATACTTATACTTTGTCACTTCCTCTATTTCTTTTCCCATCCACCACCACTTCGTTTTCTTTCTCCTACCTCTCCCTGCCCTACACCTCATCACTTTTGTTTTTCCCGTATTCACCTCCAACCCTTTTCCCTCAATATAGCTTTCAAATTTCCCTATCATCCCCTTCATTTCCTCTTCCCCCCTCGTCAGCAAAACCAAGTCGTCCGCGTACGCTAACGAGTATACCTTCCCGCCCCCGTCCAGCTCTACCCCTCCCCAACAACCCTTGGCTAGTTCCTCGTCCAAGTCCGCCAACAGCAAAATAAACAACAAGGGGCTTAGCGGGCACCCCTGTCTCACACCTTTCACTGTCCAAAACTTCTCCCCGTACTCATCTCCTACCCTCACCCTTCCAACCGTCTCCTTCAATACCTCTTCACATCTTCCTACAAGTCCCTCTCTCACCCCTCTCTTCCTCATACTCTCCCCTAATTTCACCCTATCCACTGAGTCGAACGCCGCCTTCAAATCCACAAAAAGTAGCACCAGTTTACTATTTCTCTTCCTTATTTCCCTATTCACCAGCCAATTTAATATATATACATTATCCATCGTTCCCATCCTTTCCCTAAATCCCGCTTGGCTCGGTGGAAGCATCCTTCCCTCCTCCACTTTCTTTTTCAACCTATTCCTCAACACCCCGGCGTCAAATCAAAATTATATAAGATAAGTAGAATTGTTCATTAGGTTATTCTCTATAAAATTAATTGTTTGAACTCATGTTACTTAATAAGCAGTAGCTTCTCGTAAGGTTACAACTTTGTTCCGTTTGATGTAACACTATGATGTAAACCTATCCGCCACCCCTCCCCTCATTGTCGTAAATAGTCGGCAAATGCCAACCGATAGTTTTTAATATATTTAAAAGAGGCATGAACCGTTAGAAGCAGAAAGTATACTCGTGTAAATTTAATACAGTATAATAATAAGAATAATTCACCTAGTCAAAAACACGTATTTCGTGTTAGGGACTTTGCATTTTGCCATCTGTCACTTTAAATTCTTTTACTCTTGGACAGAATACAGATATTAATAATAAGAATGATAATATGTATATCATGGATTACACCATTATTTCCTACGTGAAGTATTATCTTTGACAAGTGGAACGACAGAATTCCATCATTATACAAATTTTCGTATCGACCATTGTTTGAATAAAAGACAATAAAAGAGAATAGAAATTGTGACGTAGCCGTCCATCGGCGTCGCCTACAAATAATCCGTGGCCGCTCTCAACATGCTGTAATCGAAGAAAAGATTCGAAGGTCTAATTGTTGGGCGCCAGGTGCGGCTTTTCCGCACCACCATCCCTCACCACGGCCGTTTTCAGGTTTCCCGGCGGCTCCGCCTCAGCACACTGAAAATGGTAGAGGGGAACATGCGGGCGACGAGAGAGAATTTCGGAGTCAACGGATAGACGCGCAAAATGATAGAACAGCGAGTAGGATACCGTACATAGATTATATCATACACTCCAATGTACTTATATGAACGATTATACATCTTCACTATGGTTGTATTATATTAATTTACTATTTCCGTGGTATTTGATTTTATTTGGAGCTCGCTCGTGATCTTTATTCTCGATATGATCCTTCTTCTAATGGTGATTCAGTAAGTATAATGAGTCTCCTCCATGTGGTTTTAGTAATAACGGCGGTATTCATAGTCGTCCCTCAAGAGATAAGGGGCCCTCATTGGCTCACTTATTTCGCGGACGCGTTTCATAGTCGAAACTGAGGGCTCATAATGTCCTCAATTGGCTTCTTCCCTTGAGGTTGGTCGTGAGGTCCCTCGAGGGTCATTTTTGAACTGCAGCGCCTTCAGCGGTAGAAGGCGAATTCAATTACCGTTAGGCGTCCCTAATAGAGTACGGAATACCGATTTTATCGAGAAGCTATTCGAGGTTATACGGAGAAGCTTTGCCAGAACTGGTTGTGACAAATGGAGGAATTTGACGTTTTCTACGAAAGTGATACTAGCAACGAGGGTGAGGATGAGCAACTCAATTATCTAAGAAAACGCTATATCCGTGATTATGAAAATTCTTTGGAGCACTATGAAGACCATGAATTTTCAAGAAGATATCAATTTACTAAAGCCGTTGTAATTGATGTATTGTTGCCTTTAACGCGTGCGAAGCTGGAAAAGCATTGTAATCGAGGACTACCTATACCTCCACTTATACAATTGCTAACAGCCTTAAGATTTTATGCATCAAACAGTTTTCAGGTATATATGCATTCAATTACTCTGATATTATAGTTTATACCGTGGTGGTGTACACTTGAATAACAGTAGTATTAAAGTTAATTGGTTTTTTAGATGGTTCATGGAGACCTGCGTTGGTTGAGTCAAGCCTCAGTAAGCCGCATCGTGAAAAACGTCTCCATGGCATTTGCTGAACAGTTGAAGCAATTTATTTGTTTCCCACGAAGTGACACAGGAATCCGTCGAAATACAACAAAATTTTACACGACTGCTCATTTCCCTTCTGTTGTTGGATGTTTGGATTGTACACACATTCCAATTTCAAATCCAGGAGGAGAAAATGCCGAAGTTTTTCGATGCAGAAAAGGCTATTTTTCTTTAAATGTACAGGTACATGCATTTTTCAATATTATCAGGCAAGCAGAAATACGGAGAGATGTTTTTGAACTTTATCTTCATGTACAATTGTTTTATTTCAGGTTGTCTGTGGCCCAAACATGGAAATTATGGATATTGTTTTAAGGCACCCAGGTTCAACACACGATAGCGTAATTTTTGATAGAAGTGCTGTTCGAGCACATTTTGAAGCAGGCGAATTTCGCGGCGTTTTGCTTAGAGATAACGGATATCTCTGTCGTAAATACTTATTAACTCCAATATTAAATCCAAGTGATGAGCAGGAAATTGGTTACAATAATGCCCATATAAAAACTCAAAATATCATTGAAAGAGTTTTCGGTGTTTGGAAACGTCGCTTTCCATGCTTACAAAACGGTTTGCGAACAGGATTGAAATCGACGTTGGCAATTATTTGTTCTTGTGCTGTATTGTATAATATAGGTTTACGTCATAACGAAAATAACGTTCTTGATCCAAATGTAGTTTCCGACGATGTAGAGGATGGATCAGTTTACATTAATTCTAATGAACGAAATTCGCAATTCGCAGTCCGCAGAACATTCGTGAATACTTACTTTTAAGTTTCTGTTTGTTTTACTGTAAATGAACGTATAACGATATTTCTAGCTATGATTTTGGGTAAGACTAAATAAATAAATTATGCACATTTACCATTAAACTTATATTTATATCTAATTTATTAAGAAGTACATTTTTCTCCTGTTGCTACCTGAAATTCCATCATTGCCTGTTCTAATTTAATTTCAGCTATTTTAGCTTCTGTTTCTGCAGTCCTCGTTCTAAGTTGATGCAATTCCCTTTGTGTTGCTCTAGTGCCTCTTTTGCCTTTTGTATGCGTAATTGTTTCTCCTCGTCACCTTTTCTGGTACTATACCTCCTCTTGCGAGTGAACAAAGGTATTGACGGCATAACTTTTTCACTAGGAGTGTTTACAATAGTAGCCTCAGGACTATGACATCGTTTAGATTCTGTTACATGTGGTGTGATCAACGATTCCTCGAAGCAACCATCCAAATATTCTAATTCATAATCAATGTCCTCTTCTTTGTCCTGATTATTATCTGCAAACAAATAATCATTGCAAGAATCATTCATGAGCAGACAGGTATTATTCGCATCTTTCATATATTTTTATTTTGTAATTACCTTTATTTCCATATGCAGTTGTGCTATCCCAGGTGCAGGGTAATTCCACATCTGCATGTGGTGCTCCTTCATTTACTAATTTTAAAATGGGATCACATAAATCAGGTACAGGAGGACCGCCTCCTGTGAGTAATCTTTCTCTTCTGAATTCGGTCGTTTGTCGTCTTTTCCTGAAAAAAATTGTGTTTTCTTATGATACGATAAAAAATTATAGAGTAGAGTTAATAGTTTTAAACACATCAAAAACATTCAAAAAGAATAGTCATGCAAGGCAAAAAACGTATCTGTATAATTACTTTTGTTTTAAATTTTCTTATAGTTTCCTTAGTTGTTTTTCCGTGCGTATGCTGAGCCCTTGACTATTAAAAGAATGCGCTATCCGAACCCACGCATCGTTTTCTTCTTTCATATTTACAGCACCAGTTTTTTTGTTTTCTAGAATATTTCTATGTTCGTTCACCAACTGCACTAATAATATTTTTTCCGCCTCTATATAATGTTGTTTGCTACAAGTTGCGTTCTTTGCTGCCATGATGAAACTTAAAAAACTCGTCAATAATTAATAAATGCACAAAATTTTCATCCAACTATTGCAATCTATTGTATATACTGTAACAAAAATGTTACACTGAACTCCTCCACGTCACCTGGCTCGAGGGCACCACTGGCCCCGAGCACGAGTATTGCGTACTGTATTGCGAATTACCGTTTATTGCGTCTGTTTAGTGTTTTAGATCTATTGTATTTAGAATAAGATCCCTCCCCTCCGCCCTTCCCTCCCTGTCGCCATTCCCCGTAGGGCACTGGCTCGAGGACCATTCACGAGGACCGCTACCGTGGACCATCTACGAGGACACGTCATCCCTGGATGGACCGCGAGAGTGGCTACGTCGCCGAGGCAGCGGAAGGCAGGGATGGCATTGGCAGGAAGAGCAGCTGATCGAGTCGCCCGTGGGATGGACGCCCAGCCACCACCATCGCCACCAATATATGCAGCCCCGGTGCAGTCCCGTCACACGGGCAGGAAAAAAGCCCCGTGTGACAGCGGCGGAGCCCTCTCCCTCCGAAACCGCGGACGTGCCCAGGAGGAATTTTGACAGGCCTGGAGGCCGCCATGTTGCCCGGTGCGCGACAGTCAGCCCGCGCGCCGGCGAAGCCAGCGCCGTGCTACCCGCCCGCGAGGCCCTGGAAGGCCCGCCAGCGGAAAGGACCAATACCCTGCCATGCCGGAACTGTCGACCAATGCCAGAGCGCGTAGCCCTCTCAGCCCAGCGATCCAACCAATCCCCGAGGCCCCGGAGGCCTGTGAACGGAAACAGCGAGGACCGGAAATCGGCAAGAGATCTTCACTTCGAGCCAGGATAGCGGTAGAGCGTGGGTGATTTTGTTTGCGAGTTGAGTGAGAGTGGGATAATTGCGATAAGTGCGAATCTGAATTACAGTGTTACGAACTATTGAGTGAGTACAATTTGCGTGCTTGAGTTTTCCCTTTTTACCACCCTTTTCCCTACACCCTTTCCCTACTTGCGCTTTTACATTGAGAATAGACCCCCTTTTGGATTTGGCGAGCTGTCCCCACGTGGACCGACCCTTTTGCGTTAGTAGATCTTTTTGAGTGTTAGCCTGGCCTTCCGCCAACCGCGTGCGGCTAGTGGTATATTGCGTGCGTTTTAAAGTAGTTTGCGCCCATTTTGGGAAACCCCCGTGCCCCTTTTTCCTTCCCCGCCGTTTTTGAATATTGTAGATAACCCGAGGTATTTGTAAGTAGCCATTATCGCGTTCGGGAACCTTCCTCCGTGAGACCCCCTCACCTCCCCTCCCTGCTAGCCGTGCCATTTCGCGTTTGAGTAAATATTCGAGGACCTTCTGAGGTCACTCGACGGTGCTACGCCGAACAAGTAGCTGGCGCCCATTTGTTGTTTTCGAGATATCTAGTGCCGGTAAGCCCTCCTGTCCCTCCTGCCCCCTTGCCAACACCCTGTTCCCCCGTTCCCTGATTCCCTTCGCCCACTAGTCCGTTTAAAGGTCCGATGTGACACCGCTTGCTCCTGCGTGAGCTCGCGTGTCATTGTTTAGTTAAGCGTGTTCGGAGCGATTTAAAAAAAAGCGTGTATGAGCTAAAGTCATTTAATGGAAACCACGGGAAGGCGGTGGGCATATTCCATCGGGATGGGAAGGATCCCGGGTAGAAATTCTAGTACGGCCCCGTTCAGGGCGTGATCAGGTTGCCTGACTGCCTCAATAGGGCACTTTTAGGGCAGCCTGATCACGCCCTGACTCGAATTGTAACGTTGTGTCACATATGGCCCTGATCAGGATGCCTGACCGGGCCGTTTTAATGTTGCACTAATTACTTTATATATATATTTTTTTTTGTTACGGGAAGGTTAGTACATTGCAAAGCCGTGAATATATTTTATTGTCTTTTTGTTTATTGATTGGGATTTTAAATATTATCGTTATATATATTGTAACGTGGCGTCAGGACGACACATTACAAAAGCCCCGCACCTCCGCGCGCTGCCGACATCACGGCAGTGCCTCCGGCCTCCATCTCCAAAGAGTTCGTATGTCCGCGGTTCAGGAGGAGGGAACGGGGGAAAGTAGTGAACTGGCGGCGGAGGCACGGGGCCCTTTTGGGTTGAGAGCCCGTATGCAACGTGTGCTCAACCGCCAGGACGCACTGCCGGTACCCCGGGAACTTTGAACGGCTACGGTTTGCGGGTCCGCGGGAAGGGCGCTGGAGAGGAGATTTGTTTTGATTTTTGACCTACCGCGAAGAGCGGTAGGTAGGATAAAGAGAGTGTGTCGCGGGGAGTCCGCGTGTAAGGACTCGGGTGTCCGGCGGACCGCGAAAAATGAGTCCTTCTTCCGTGCTCGGGCGATAGCGGAGCTATCGGATAATCGCGGATTGCGATTATCGGGATCTCTCGCAGAGAACCATGGCTCCCGGTTTTTTTTTGTATGGTCCTGAGAGAGAGAGTCAGGAAGGTCGGATTTGTTTTGAGCGTACAGCAGATCGCGAGCAAACGGTTGAGAGGACGACAAGAAAGGTTATGGCCAACCGAGCCGCGAAGACTCGGCAGGAACGGTTGTCAAAACAACGTTGCCACGGAGACACCGGGTGCGCGGTGGTGTAGTGACCCTTTAGGACAAGGGAAGCGTGATCGAGGTGGATATGGCTTGGCTGGAAACGCTCAGCCAACCTCCCGCTGTAGGGGCGGGGATAAGCGCACCAGGACGCGAGGGCCCCGGGCGGCACGTCTGGACAATCGAAAGGCGGCTGTGAGCCAGGATTGCCAAGGGCCCGAGGGGCGAGAGGAAAGAGTACTCTTCTGAGCGGATCCCGGAACGCTGCAGGGAGAGAGAGGACCGTAGGATGCGGAGGGCCAAAGGCATGGCCCGCCACTAGAAAATCCTGCCGAGGAAAGTAGGAATACCGGCGTACGAAGAGCGGAGTCCCTTCGGAAGCCACCAGATGGTGAATGGCACCGAGGACTTTGCGGACGCACTGCAGGGCAAAGGACTCCGGGCCGCGAATCTCGGGGAAGGAGATCGGAGGGCGGCCGGCCGAGCGCCCTTTAAACGCGATAGGACGGAAACGCGCAGACCTCTAGGGCCGGATAGGGAAGTCCGGGGAGGGAGAAGCTGCCGTACCGAAACCTGTTTAAAAGGAACAGCGTAGGAAACTATCCTAATCGACCAGAAATGGATTGGTCGATCGGGGACGTCGATACTCCGGAAAGTAGGAGTCCTTCTCGGACGGAACGGGAAGGGGAGAGGACTAAGTGCAGCTTTCGCTATCTCAGCGGCGGCTGGCTCGTCCGCGCGATCCGGAGACGGGGTTCTACGCCATGGCGTACCTGGGTAGGACATGAAGAATGTCGCCGACGCTCGATTCATCTCCACACGAGGGACAGCAGAAAGGGTACTCCGACGCCGGGTGACGGAAAGGAAGTGGGAGCTGGTGGACGATACGGCGGCCGACCAGCATGTTGGGATTGCGGTCGGGCCGGACATCGCCACCCGGATTGCGAATATCCCTATAATGGCCTTTCTGCATCCGTTGCGGCGCTCCCGGAGTGGAACGTAGAACGTGCCCGAGATGTTCTGGTTACCGGTCGGGAAACGGCAAGAGGAGTGCACACTAGGAGCGAGTGTTGCCTCCGCCGGAGTACGTGGAGTACTCGGGGGGAAACCCCCCAACTCCAAAGGGAAGCTGCGCGGGGCCTTAGAACTCGACCTGGGGATTTCAGACATTTTATGCTGAGTGTTCGTGGAGAAGCGAGATTGAGACATTTCGGCACCAGGAACAGAATTCCCCCTCTCCAAATGGAAGCGAGGTGACTTCATCGACGGGGTCAGGGCAGGAGGTTCTCCCGACGGGATAAAGAAATCGGGATAAACTTGGACA